GGCACATGGCAAATTACCCCGGGTGGGGTAGGGAAGGCTGGGGCCAGCATTGGGCTGCCCTCAGCAGCCTTACCAGGGGTCCTGGGGGCCTGGGGCTGCAGCAGCGGTAATCCAGCCACTTGGAGCCTGGCCGGCAACCAGAGCATGGCTCCAGCCAGCTAGGGTCTGGTTTTCAGTGGGGTACATTGTCCCTACTTGTGCCAGTCAAAAAAAACCCTGTGCTGATCCCTTCCAGCACAGAGAACAGATGAATATGTGGTATATGGTACCACAGACGTGTCTGAGGCGCCATATACCGCATGGCTGCGCTCGTCTAGACACAGCCACTGGGGTTAATGCTAAAACCAAAAACCCCCACATAGTACTAATATAAATAAAAATGTTCTATACAAGTTAATGGAAACAGTTGGATGGTAAGTATATAAGAAACCTAAACCTAAAAGTAAAATAAAATCTGTTAGGCAGGTTGGCTCTTAATTAAAAATAAATTTAATTCTAAAGAGAAAGAAAACAGACTACTCAGATTCCGAATGAAATCCAGAATTTCAGTTATCTGAAAAACAGAAAGAAAGCTTAGAAAAATATTTCTATATATAAGCAAGTCTCTACTGTAAGTTTTTTTTCTCTTTGTGTTTAAATAAGACCCTGTAAATGGTTGCTGGCATCTTTTGCAATTGTCTCTTAGTTCAGTGGTCATAAAGATGAACACATAAGATTTAAAATTGGAATCTGAGGACACTCATCAATTTGGCACTGAGAAGTCCAATTATACTTAGGTATTCTGATCCAGTGACTGATTTAAAATGTAATTGTCTCTTGTGGCACTGAAGTAGTTGGCAAGAATATAAGCTACAAGCACTTGAACTAAAAAGCAAACTTGTTAGCTTGTTTATCACCCCTCTGTCCATTAACTTTACCCCAACAGTACTTCTTAAAAAGCTCTTTCTAATATACTCATTAGGAAACAAAAATACAATTAGGGTTCTTCACACAATCTATTTTCAGCTACAGCGTGTTCAATTTTAGAAAGATTTTAGAAAACCACTCAAGATTCTAGGAGAAGCAACTTAGCCAAGAGACTACAAAACCTGGTTTTAATGCTGATCATGCTGCAAGACTGAAGACAACGTAGGCAAAGTGGAACTGCTTTGTTTTTCATTTTCTATAAACTGTGATCCTTACCCCCAAGAGCAACACTGAAATGTAAATAACCAGACTTAGAGAAGAGTTTTGAATTTCAAGCAGGAAGAAGCTTACAGAGGTGTAGAGTATGACTAGAAAAATTCAGTGTTAGTAAGCAAAGGAAGCTACAGCCGTATATAAATAGTTTGCCAGTATCATTTTACAGAAAGTATAACTGTGTTCTGCATTTGGTGACTGAGGAGGAAAACACAACCCCTTTCCAAGTAGACCTTTCCAAATCCAAAAACAGAACAGAAAATTAAATTAAAGTTGACATACTATAGTAAAAGTTCATTATATGTTTCCAATAACATGCTAGTTTGCTAATGGAGACCTGGTCCAAACCAAAGACACTGGGCAATTTTTTCTTATTCATTCTGGCAGACAAGGAAATAAACTCAAGATTCTCCTAAACTGTAAAGCTCCCATCTCTCCCACTGCATTATTGGCTGTTGGAGAAATTAAGCACTTCAAGCATGAATTTTGTGTCTACCAAATAAGGATTTTTGCCCTCTACTAAAAGAAATTCAGACAACATAAATTGTATAGTTCACTATACAGTGAGAGTGACAGAACAGAGAGAGCTTTAGGTTAGGTCTACATGTAGCTGCCTGATGCCACCACTATTTGTGGCAGGAGAGAGCAGCTGCTACCACCAAGCTGCCACGGCACATGTCATGGCCATGGGATCCCAGTAGCTCCACTACAGCAGCATTACTGCACTGTGGGATGACACCAGCTTTTGACTGGACCGTAGCAACTGGTTGAAGGTGCAGGAGTGTTTTTACATGCTTCCTGCCAACTGCTGAACAGTGGCAGGACCTTGACTGACTCAGCAGAGGTGGAGCAGCCCCAGCAGAAGAGTGAAGGACGCTTTTGTGACCAGGAGGGCTTGTGTACTGGAAGAGAATTTGGTGCAGACTTCCTTCCATCTTAGAGGGGATCAACAACACCAGCAGAACCAAAAGAGCAAGATGCAAGATGTAATTCTTTGATATTCTAATAGCTCACATTATTGGACATTGTGGGCGCATCCAGATGAGCACACATGTGCAATTGGAGGCACCTCAAAGCTGTTTGAGGCACTGCAAATAGCACATGTGCACCTGTTCACCCTGGTCAACAGGTGCACACTGGAAATCTCAATGTAAAAAAAAAACACTGCTAAAAAATTGGCGTGGTACACATGGCAAAAGCATGTGCCACCAGAGCCACGCTGTGTCTACAGTGCTGCCAGGTCAATGCTGCTGCTGCCCCAGGAGGCCCCCAGAACCTCAGGGTGCCTATACATGAACCGGGAGGCTGCTCCGAAATGCTGTAATTACAGCACATCAAAGCAGACTCAGTTAATCAAGTCTGCTGGGACATGATAATTACCATGCTCTGGCCAACCTCTGCATCTCATGTATCAGCATCCCCATGCTTCAAAATGGTGGCAGTGGCACTTTAACTATGACAAGCTTTAGATAAAGTGCCCCCGCCACCATTTTGAAGCGCGGGGATGCTGATACATGAGATGCACCGGGTGCTTTAATTAGAGTGGCTCTTGGAGTTGCTTTAATTAAAGTGCTACCCCTCTCCCCCCAAAGAGTACATGTAAAAATGCCCCCCAGGTGCTGGTCCCAGCCTCCAGTACCCCACCCAGGGTTAATTTACCATGTGCGTGAGTGCTCATGCAGGGGCGTCCTCTGAGACAAAAAGCAGTGGCATAAGTATGGGCCACTGCTATTTTTGCCACGGGAAACACACGTCCCTGCACATGCATGCTCATTTGGACATGCCCTGTGAGCATAAACGTTCCCTCTCCTTCCTCCCCAAATCTGCCTTTTTGAGCAGAGAAGCTTATGTGGGTGAATGGAGACTGTGATCTTTTCAATTAACATCCACCGCAATATCTTCTCCAACACAAAGTGTATTCTAGCACAGTGTACGGAGAAGACCACAGCCAGCATGCTGCTGCTTTGTTTGGCAGCAAAACTAATGTTTCCTGTGCCATCTGGGGGGGCCCTGTCCAGAAGGTACCCAAATAAGCCAGGCATCTAATAAAGAAATCACATCTGAAAAGGGGCTGCTGCTGTGAATAATCTGATCTTTATGAATACCCTCAAATTAGATTCCAGCACAAGATAATTCCAGTGGGACAAAATGCAGTAGTCACTGGGGGTCCCTTCATCCATCAATATCAGGAAAACTCCAATTAATTCTATTTTGAATATTAACCTTTCATTAACTGGTTCACCCACTTTCTTGCAAACCTATTTTAGGTTCCATAAAAGACTTTTCTGAGCAAGCTCCTTTCACTTTCCATGAATGAGATACAAAATGGCTGCGAGATGCTTTTTGTGTCAGATAGGAATTAAACTACAAATGTATAAACTGTGAAGTGCAGGGGAAAAAAATCCCACTTAGTGACTGGTCCTCATTCTGTCTGTCGGGGTTAACGAGTAAGAAGACCCACATTCCGCAGTGCCACACTAATAGGATATCAACTTCTGATATCCAGCTGAATAAATACCACTGAAAGTCAATAACCAAATCCCTTCTACAACAACTCGAGCTCTAGGGACCTGACTGGAATTTGAACATTTGTATTGATTTGTAAAGTTACCAACTGAGAATAAATACTCAAGAGACTGCGTAGTAATCAGTTCTTATGAACACAAATTGCTACTGAGGGATTACCTCTCAAACACAGCTAAATTTGGTATATAACCAAATAACTGCCTCAAAGAAAAGGAAACAGATTAATCTGACTGGAAGATTATCAGGTAAAAGCTCATTGGAAATTAACATTTGACCATATATATTTGAAATAAAATGTTTATGTTTTTAATGGCTCCTCTGTATAATTGTGAAGCATTTTTTAACAAGCATCGTGGGTCCCCAATGATCCTGTTACACTGTTAAGGTTGTTAAAACTTTGACTTATTATTCGGAGTCTAAGAAGCAACAGCAATCTTCAGGCTTTTGACAGAACCCTTTACTTCCCTTTGCGTATGTAGGCTGTGATCATCAAGTCCTTTTAACTCTAGCCAAGAAGAAAGATTAGTAGCTGTCTGTACAGCTACTCCACTGTGAAATTTTCACTACAGAGCTTTTTTTCCTCCCCTCTGGGGACAGAATGAGTAACAGAAATGCTGGAATTTAGCCCTGTCTGATTTTGTTTTTTAAAGAGGTTATTATGTTTCTGAATAACACTAGAAACATTAGAAACAAGACTGCCATGTGCTATACAAGTTTGCATCCCCCTAGCTCACAATTGTGCATGCTCATTCCAAAATACAACATCATGGAGAAATACAATTAGTAGTAAAGTATTATTCCTGTGCACTGTTTTCCCAGCTGGGAGAGTAAATAACCGAGATAAAAAAGTTATGAGCAAAAACTGTATCATTTTATGAATAAGAGGTATTAAATTGCAGTGTTTTCTTTTGCAATGCTTATTTCATTGATATTTATTCATGGGGTCGGGTGACCTTGAAGCTATTTAATTTGTGGTAAATCAACTTCGCTTTTGGGATGGCTTTATGGTGTAGTCCCAAGCAGAACACATCAGGAAATCTAATCTAGAAGGGAAAAATGGAATGGATGACAGTCACAAAGGTCCACGTCTGACAGTAATGGTTAAAACCACCTGGTTGTGTATAACCAGAAAAAAAAACTGGTTTTTTTTTCATTTCAAGGAGATTTTCCTTAGGAACCTATTGTACACATACAGTATATGCCATTATAAGAATAACTAAATCTTTCTGTTGTTCATCAGTGCAGATTTCTGGTCATGCTTTTTAGACAAGAAACCATGTTAAACAAAGACTTACCCCCTCCACCTCCAAGAAGACTGGAATTAGCTGCGGAGGAAAAAAGAAAAAAAATCATTAGCATTACATTTCCTAAATATGGAATGGAACAGAAGGTGATTTTTTGTTGTTTTTTAAAACCTAATAAATTGCTGAAATTCATAGTTATTCAAATTAGAGAATGTACATTCTATTAAAACAACAGCACTGCAACCTACTGTTTTTTACTCAAGAAATCCCATTAATTTGGCTTTTCCAAATACATTAATAGTGTCCACATTTTTAACAGAACTCAATTATTCTGAAAAATATATATCTATAATATATTATGCTAAGCTTTTGGACCCACAAATGAATTAACATTAATGTAATTTTAAGCTCCACAATCTTCTGAAATGACATTAGTTCGTAAGCACAGATGTGGTTAGCCATGTCTCGCTAAAGCCAGGGAGAAGGTAGGACAAGGTGGCACCTTATGCCGCTGGCATACTTTCATTTAATGCAGCAATGAGATTTGATCCCTGATTCCAACAACTGTACCTCCTGCCATGCTATATGTGAATGGCAGGAGGTGCAAGTTGAGGATCAGAGATCAAATCCCAGTTGTGCCATTACTACTTGCCAGTGCAAGGGAAACAGGACCAGCAAGTTGAACTGGGGCTACCAATCAGCTGATTGTTGGCTCCAGCCCTAGGTTTGCATGGGGTCTCACAACAACCTCAGTATGATCCCATAGCTAAGGATCAGCTCTGGCCACAGGACTACACTGAGGACTTGAACCAGTCTTGGTGCAGTCTGAGACCAACAATCAGCTGATCATCAAAACCACATGGCTGGCAGCTCCGGCTGGCTGCCAGGCATGGAATCAGAGGCTCCTGATGGGAGGAACCAAAGGGCTTACTCCACTGGGGACTTTAAACCCTGTGACCATGTGACCAGCAGGTCTGGCTGTGCACAGGGCATCAGAGACTCCCAACAGGATTTAAAGTCCCCAGCAGGGGAAGCCTTTCCACCCTCACCCACCTGCAACCATGGGCCAGTGCTGACAATCAGCTGATTCTCAGTCCCAGGGCTGGGACCTCTCGAGGGCTGGTTCCAGACCCCAGAGTAGTCCTGGCCCTGGGACCAACAGTCAGCTTAATGTCAGCCCCTGTCAAATGTTAAATGTAAGGCTCTACACAAACCACCCATAAAAATGTTCTACCAGTAGACTGTAGAACATTTGCCACATTAATCACAGCACAAATGTAACATGTAGAGGGGGCCTTAGAGACTGGTTTAGAGAGACATGAGCTTTAATATGCAAGAACCTACTTCATCAGAGGCTAGGAACCTACATTTAGCATCAAACAAAGGATGTTGTTGCCTAAAGAAGCTCATGCCTCTCCAAACTGGTTAATCTCTAAGATGTTATCCTGCCCACCTTCTGCCAAATAATAATCCTCTGAGAGAACCAAGCAAAGAAGAAAAACCCTTTGTCAATTTAGAGAGCAGGAACCGGGTTTTGGTGCAACATGCTATGAACTTTTCTGAGTTACTACAACACAAGCTGTGTCAAGACGAGCAACTGGCTGTGTCGATTCCGTGTGGAACGTGGCGCTGCAAACGTGCCTGCGGCGCCACATATCACATGTTCAAGTCTTCTCTGTGCTGCAAGGGAGCAGCGGGGGGCGGGGGGGTGGTGATTCCTGCATGGGTAAAAAAAAACCTGTGGGGAAAAACAGCAGTGTGGCGCATGCGGGGACAATTTGGCGCTGCTCAAAACCAGAGCCAGGCTGTCTGAAGCAGTGCTCCGGCTGCTGGCCAGGCTCCGAGCCACATGATCACTGCAGCTCTGGCAGGCCCCCAGAACCCCAGGTAAGGCTGCTGAGGCCAGCCCAGTGCTAGCCCCAGCCTCCCCTACTCCCACCCCCCCCAGGGTAATTTGCCACATGCCAAAGGACATGTAGTACAGATATTCCCCAGGGACAACTGGAGGCAGCACAAGATGTGCTGCTACTAGTTGTCCCTGGGGAACCAAACATCCACACTCGTATGGACACAGCCACAGGGTCTATGTGGATGAAGATCACTAAAGGAAAAAAGTTCCTTTATCTGACTTCTGAAAAACAGTGGGTGAAACTCTGGTCCCAATGAAGTCAATGAGAGTTCACTGAGATCAGAATTTCACATTCTGTATTTATATGCTGTTCTATTGTGTATTTAGCTATTTGTTCCAGCCATATAGACTAAACTACTTATGGACAGTGGCAATTTTCAGAGGAACATAACTCAAGACAGCCATTCACATTAAACTAGTCTAGCTGCAGCCACTAATTTTCTTCCCACAGCCTGGACAGAAATGGAAGAAAGGCTAAGGATATAAACCTGACTAAAGCCTTTTACTAAAACATTCATCCTACATGTAGATGGAAAATGTAGGTTCCTTCAGCACAAAAACATGAATGGAAAAAAAATGGCACTGGAACTGGAACAGGTATTGACACTTTTGTCTGATTGCTTACAATTTATTGACAAGTTTAAAAAAAAAAAGGAAAATATGCATAAATATCCTATATAACTTCAACCTAGCCAAGCTTCATATTTGAAGCAGACTATTCTTATAGGTCACAAATAACATTTGTCACATTTGTGCCAATGTACATCAATGTCTGCTGTCCTAGGATAAATCCTAAAAGGGATCACAGGATAAGAAGTACTAACAGCTGATCCCAGGACAAAGTGCATCTGAATGGTTACCAGGATTGCATCGTTGAATCAATGGCAGAAAAGCAACATGCATTCAGCTGCTGACTAAACCGTGATTAGAAGGGCAATGTGTGTACGCGCCACTCCCACGATATTTCTGTTCTGACTGAACTTGTCCAGGACACAAATATGTCTGGGGACAAAATACAACATCTGTTCCTAACCACAGAAACAGACTGTTGCAGAAGGAGGAATAAGCTCTGACCCCTCAAATTAGTAAGGATTTAAAGTCGTATAAGGACGGCTGATATTTCCAACTGTCTTCTTTAAACTGATAAAATAAGAATAGGATACACTGGGTTTTTTTAGGGGTTTGCCCCCCTTATTTCTTTTGAGTGTTTTTTGTACAGCTACTTTCAGTTATACCATCAGAAGTCAGCTCTCCTGACACTGCAGGGGCACAGTCTCAATATCCAAGCAATGTTTTCTATAAAACAGCGTATCCTGCACTAAACAGGGTAATTTATCTTTGAAAAAGAAAAATGTACTATTATTGGTACTTTACTGTTACTGCAACACAGCAAGAATGCTTTAAACTAGACTCTTGGGTATCATATGTAAAGTACTAGCAGTCAAACACAACTGTTGTCATGTCTATGTACATGTGCAAAGCTAAAAAATATATATTGAAAATGCTGGCATCCAGCTTCAATCCACACAAATTTACCTGTTCCTGTCTTCACTGAATTGCAGTATTACACATCAGTAAACCATGGCACAAACTGAAACTAGCAAAGTATCCTATGCTTCTCAAGTAACTTTTAAACTGCTTTTTTAACAGCTAGTCTCACCCCATCTACAGTAAAATAAATAAATACATTTCTAAGCCAAATAATCACAAAAGCAAAAAAGACAAACAGGGCATGTCTACATGAGACATTTACTGTGGAGCTGCCTCATTAGCTCAGCAGTAAAGTCCCCGGTGTCCACACATGTGGCCCTATTTGGTTGCAGGAAACTAATAAATGCCATCATAAGTTAGTACTTGTAAATACAAGTACTATCTTTTGGTGGCATTCTGTAGTGTGCAATGTACATGTAGAGGCTGACGGAGCAGGCTGGGGCATGAGAGTGTTTCAGTGTGGAGTCTGCCTGCAGGCTAGCCCCATACTGGACCACCCTTGTGCCCCAGCCAGCCCCTGTGCAGCACACTGAGCTGGGCTGAAGCAGCCTCATGCTGCCAGGCTGATCCCTGGGCTCCCTGCTACCTGGGGCTGCTCCAACCCAGCTCAAAATACTGTGGTCCCAGACACAAATGCAAACACCGAGGAGAAATGAACTCCAGCACGATGTGCATTGGAGTTTATTGCTTTGCATTAATTGCATGTGTAGATGCACCCATTGAACAGGGAAAGGGGAATGAAAAATATCTTAATATGCTAACTATTTAATTCTGCAATTCAAAATTATGGGTCAGTTCTGGAGTCAGTTTTTGTTCAATATCTTCATTAATGATCTGGAAGATGGGATGGGGTGGACCCTAAGCAAGTTCATGGATGACACCACGCTGGGAGGGCTGGGGGTGGAGGAGGCATGCAGTAGATACACTGGAGGGTAGGGCTAGGATTCAGAGTGACCTCAACAAGTTGGAGGATTGGGCCAAAAGAAATCTTATAAGGTTCAATAAGGACAGGTGGAAAATCCTGCACTTAGGACAGAACAATCCCATGCACCAATACCAGCTTGGAACTAACTGGCTAAGCAACCACTCTGCAGAAAAAGATCTGGGGGTACAGTAGACAATAAGCTGACTATGAGTCAGTGGTGTGCCCTTGTTGCCAAGAAGGCTAACAGCATACTGGGCTGCATTAGTATGAACATTGCCAGCAGATAAAAGGAAGTCATTAATCCCCTCAATTCTGCACTGGTGAGGCAACACCTGGAGTAGTGTGTCCAGTTTTGGGTCCCCGCTGTAGAAAGGATGTGGACAAGTTGGAAGGAGTAGAGCAGAGGACAATGAAAATGGTTAGGGGGCTGGGGCACATGACTTCTGAGGAAAGGATGAGGGAACTGGGCTTTAGTCTGCAGAAGAGAAGATTGAGGGGGGATTTGATAGCAGCCTTTAACTATCTGAAGGGTGATTACAAAGAGAATGAAGCTAGACTGTTCTCAGTGGTGACAGATGACATGGAGCAGTAGTGATAAGTTGAATCAAGGGAGTTTTAGGTTGGATATTAGGAAAAACTTTTTCACTAGGAGGGTGGTAAAACACTGGAACAAGTTACCTAGAGAAGCTGTGGAATCTCCATCCTTGGAGGTTTTTAAGGCCCAGCTCAACAAAGCTTTGGCTGGCATGATCTAGC